TGAACGAGTCTATTACTACCCGACCAGAATCTTTCTTCTGAGCATCCTCCGATATTAACAACTCAATGTGGCACGAACAAGGCAAAAAACCAAACAAGTGCGCTGAGAAAACGAGAGACCCACCCCAAGGGCCTGTGAGAGAAGCCTCATCCATTCAATGCTTATGACGTACAGCGAAGATTCCCTCATCAAGGGCTGGTACCGGCTAACCTACTGAATTGATCCTCCTCAATCTCCATTCTCTTCTCGCTTTCACTGATACAGCGTATCAAACTGGCCGAGTCTTGCACGATAGAGTCCAGTGAAGTCTCAAGGTCAATCACTCGCGCTAGAGCACTACGGCATGCCTCCGACAGCAGCTGGTAAGTAGCGATCTCTAATGCGAACTTGCTAGATGCTGCAGGTCTCAGGGCCTTCCTCACACATCTGAGCACCGCCCTCGGTATAGGAGATGCACCAGAAATCAAAAACGTTGAGGTGAGTAATCTCCGACATCGATTGGACATTCCTTCCGTTTGAGCCCATGATGCGATCTGAATCTCAGCCCCCAAGGGTGCTTGGCCCGACTTCGGTAAACCTTGGGTTGTTGCTAAACTTGCCGACCCCTGCGACTCCAAGGACAAGGTGTCGCCGACTTCTATATCAGAGGATGCAACAAATTTCAGCCGTCCATCTCTTTCAGTCACTCGGACATTCCCTCTTGACTCGCGTCCGCGAATGAGCTGAGATCCCGGCAATAGAGCCCATCTGAGATTGACAAGATCACGGAACTGCTATGGCAGCTGCTCCAGTACGTTCCATAGCCGAGGCGGAAGCTATCGCTGATGACGGCTGCCCTTATCCACAGGTCATCATCTGCTAACGCTGATGATGAGGGACCCAATCGAGCTTCCTCAACAACCTACAATGCGTATATTACAGCAAGCAGTAGATCCTCAATATTATTGATAGAGTAACAATCCTCTCCTACATGCACTAGTGGTAGGTGAATCACCCGAACCAGGGTAAAATAACATATCAAATACGCCGCTAGAGTACACTGCTGGCTGCCTAAATTTCTCCTAACGTGGCTACTCTAGCAGTGATGTGACACTATCATTCCCCTACGTGGCGAGTCGCCACTGGCGACACAAGGATATCCAATGGAGCCATGATATATCGAGGGATCACGAGGTCGTGAACAACTGATAGTCTAGTCGTCCTCGCTACCTCTCTGTATATGGAAGGACTGATCGCCTTCAATGCTTCCACTAAAGTACCGTTGACGTCATGTAGTATCGAGCTTGTACTCCTCAGTGGTGCGTTTTCTCGAGCCTCATCTGAGTAGGCCGCCCAGAGCCCCTCAAAACCCAACTGCTGTAATTCTTGCAGACTATCCAAGATCTGCCGCAGGGAGCCACGCAATAAGGCTTCCTTGGGATACTCGAACAGAGGTATGCCATGCGGCAGTGCTGTAAGAGCCACCAGCGCTTCACCTGACTCTGCTAGTCCCACCAAAGTTGATAATATCCCCTCGTCTATCAGACTAGCGTAAAGACGAGTCTGACTCGTGTCCAGTACGACTGGCTCTGGGGAATGCATAGGCTCGGGTCGAATCGGATGGTTCGACCATTGCCTGAATAATAATGACCTTGAATGACATAGTCGTAATAACATCTACACCTGAATTTCCTTATATACTGTACATCAAGCTTGTTCCAGTCAACTGCACCCCACCAGGCTTTTATATACGCCTCAACATTAGCACCATGGCTCTCTATGTACCTGGACAGCCCTCTTCTATTACAGTCGACGACCAGCAGCAGCGGCGAGTACTACGCATGCTCCCAAAGATCGATGTTGAAAATGGCGTAAATTTGGTCACCATGGATGCCATCATAATCTTGAGACGTTATCACGGAGAGTCCTTCCGGAAGGCTAAGTAACCAAACCCAACCGTATCCATCCAGCGAGAGAGCAGCCTCTAAAAGTTCCTGAGGTGTGGTATGTGAAGCGGCCATCGGCTGTGCACTCACCTCAAACAGTTCCTTCATACCGCCAAACGCGTTGGTGATATCCTGGACGAGTAGTGAACTTTCGAGAGAGAGAGGCTCCTCAAAATCGTCGTACATGCCTGTTGCCCGAAGGCAGTTGAAATAGATCTCATGATAGATGTAACTGGGAAGTCCTCTACACTCAGTCATTCGCCGCTGGCACTACCTGTTTCCGTAGTATACTAGCTTATCGCATAAAGGGAGAGGAATCTCCTCAGACAGGATGTTTTCGTATTCACAGAAGTAGAGAAGTGCATCGAAGCCCATGTGACGGACGTGCCTGCATGCTCAAGCGTGTCTTAGGTTCGGATCGTGCTGTCGCTGCCTACGTTGGGAGGTTGGGTAGCAAAGATAATTGTCTTAATCCTGTATTGAATCTCGCCGTGTCTCGGCCGCATATGGATCGATAATGGTAACTGTACCAAGGACTAGTACTGTGAGTCCCTGTGGTGTGTGTACCTCAGCGCCTTGGGCTGGACTAGAGGGAAGAAGTTGGCGTAGGTTGAGAACGGCACATCAAAAAGGGGGACGTGTCTGGCTCCTTGAGCCGATGATGAGAGTAGTAGGGAGATTAATAGGTCTCGGAGGAGGAGGGAATACAGAAACATGAAAACTACCATTGGGGATATCGCGTCGCGACTGTGAAAATGGTAAACATAACTCATTTTCTCAGCGGAGCGGTGCTTGCATGTAACGGATTCGACATCGGTGCGAGGTTCCCATGAATTCATCTCTGGGGACAAGTGAAAGCGAATCTCTCGTCGTAAGTCATCCCTTTGCCACGGACCTCGAACATTGCAACTTCACCTCGGCTGCATCCCTGCTACACAGTGATTGGAATCAACGACCCGGTGTGCTTTGAGATCAATACCCGCTGGATGTCTTCCCCCCGTTCTTACAATCAACACCCTTGCATGCGTAGTGACTGGTGGATTTGGTAAGAGCGTGGTCAACGCTATACCTCCTATCCCGATGGAACAATACGACCGTTATAGTGACACTGCGTGTATTGGCCTCGAACCATAATTGTGGTAGAACCGTTACATTGGGTTCGGACGAGTCGACTCCTTTGAGACCTTGGCAACTGAAGGCTCTCAGGAACCGTTGACATGCGGGACTCACTTGAAAAGAGTTTACCAGGCCGATGATATTGTCTTCGCCACGTAACTCTTGTTATTGCTGCCTGCAACTGTCAGCAACGAACTGTACTAGAAGGTTCGCAACAGTTGGCACAATCCAGTCTAGCATGCTTCGAGATACAGTGGTGGCGTTGATTTGTTAGAGTGATAAATCAAGTGGGGAAGGAGGATGATCTCTCTCGAGAAACATCCCATGTGATCGGCGCTCGCGACGGTACAGGGTTGTTTTAAAATGACAGTGATAAGCCCTCGGCAACGATCGGCAAGCAGGTTGACTGAAGGGAATGACCCAGGTAGTAGAGAGGGATGGCGGTGTGAGATGGGCTGGGGGGAGGGAGGAAGCTCATGTCAGCGGCTGCTGCTGCATACAGCCGACTGCTGGAGAACTTCATGTCCCCGGACTTCGATGTGGCAGAGTTTGTACGAGAGATGGTAGCTAACGCGGAGAGCAAAGGAAGTAGTTCGCCCAGTGGAGGTAATACCACACCGACAGTTGTTCTCGAAGCGTTGATACCTAGAAGTGATTGGTTTAGGTGCTACTCCTCGAAGAAGGAGCCAATCAGCAGGTGGTGGAGCTGTTGGGGTGGGTACGGTAGTCGGTGGTGCTCTTGCTCGAAGTGCTGGTCTCTATCAGGCAGTGATAGCCCAGCTGGACCAAGCCATATTCACGGTAGATGAGCAGCTTCGTAGTAAAGTGGCAGATTGCTACGATCAGCTCTTGCTCAACGACACGACGGGTAGTTAGGGAGAGGCTCAGCAGGGGGGAAGGGTTATGGTCGCGATTTCAGATCTGGACCGGGTGGACGGCGAGCTTGGGCAAATCCGGGAATCTGTTGCTGTACTGAGAGCCACGCTGGACAATGTACAGACTGAGGCATTGGCTCCGTTCAAAGTCATAAAGAGAAGGTAACACGACCGGGGATGGAACCATGGTCCTCTGGATGAGTTGTTCCAAATGGGAGGGTCTTAGGTTGGACACGCTGGAGAGAGCCCAAAAGGCAGCAGCTCTAGTGAGAAGCACTCAGAAGTTGCTCCTGGGAGTCCGGAAACTGAGGATGCAAATGCAAGCGGCCAACGCGGAAAGTTCATCAGCATTTGATGGTGACGACTCTCATCTGGGGTAACTGCGATGGCACTGATTCTTGATTTCAGGTCGGCCGAGCCTTGGGCCGCATTCTGCCAAAGCTGCTATCCTAGCTTATGGGCTCCAGATGTGTAGGACTTCTATGGGAGGGTGTTGTCCGTGTCCTTACTCCTTCACTATAGGTCGGAATGGCGATAATAGGAATATCATTGTCATTTGAGCTTGTGAGATTTCCCACCTCTGAGCTCCCATTGTATCAGCTTATCTCGGGAGGGAGTAGTTCACGTCAATCAGCCGGTTGCTCTATTCAGCATTGTCAATGGAAGCGGACACTCTCGCACGACTACCTGCGATATCCAAGGAAGTTGCCTTTATTCACCACAGTTCGTCATTACTACGGAAACAAGCCTCGGAGGTAGTAGCATTAGCTCGGATCTCAGCGGCCGACAGTTGACGTGCTCCCAGGCTTTGATGGTCGGCTTGAAGCCGGACTTTGGCTCACCTGTGAAACAGCGTGCCGTTTTAATGTCTGCTGTGCAAGTCCTCTTCGAGCTCGGTAGAATTCAAAGTCCCTCACGAGTCTCGCTTACGCTCCTTTCAGGTTGCCTCCCTACGGAAGGTAGAGCGTGTGCTGCTGCAGTGGTATCAAATGTGGACGCGTTCGCCCTGCAGGTGCCTGAAGAGGTGCTGACGGGTCTACGGCTTGCAATCCATACTCACGCGCTGAGTTGTTGTTACTCGTCTTGTTCAGAACTCTGCTCAAGGAGATACAGTCAACTTGGAGCAGTTTTGGAGAGTAGCTGAAAGACTCGCCGAGGCCATTGTACTCTTTGGGAGGCCTGTCGAGGTAAAGCTGGTATCTTAGGAGTTGATTCTTAAGATAGTCTTCGCTCAGATGCTCGATGAACTAGTACGGCTCGGTGTTGACCCACTTACGCAGAAGCCCTTCATGTCGTCATTCCAAGAGGCCGAAGCTGAGCCGATCTCACGAGCTGCATGGGAAGCTGTTGCCGATGGACTTGCAGTTAAACGTCTGAAGCATGCCCACACGACGAATCGGAATCTGCGAGCGGGGAAGGCAAGTCATCTCAGTGTTCTCTCGTCGATCCAATGAATGGATGTAGTTGTTACGTTGTGTTACTCATCGTCCCTGCAGGTGGATCTCAACCGGCTGCGTGCCGTTGTCATTGTGGAGCCTTATGAGCGTCTTCATGGGAATACTCGAACAGCGAAAGCGAGAGAAACTCGCTCGCAATCAGAAGGATCCACCGGCAACGATGCGTATTTTTGTTCAATGGAAAAGGCGTTGGGAATAGCAACTGCGTCATCCAAGTGATTTACTGTTCTGTACCGAATTTTCTTGTGTTGACCTAAATGAGCTGAAGGTCTGTTGGGTGGTCATGCGATATTCACGTGAGAGTCCGGGGGCCTTCGCTATGGCTTTGTAGCTCTTGCTGGGGGACATTGGCATCAACAATTAGGAGCTAAATTTGGCAAGTACACTATCCGGGGTTTGAACCCGCGACCTCCAGATGGACTGTTATATCGGCACTAGTAACAGTCTCGAACGGCGGGGATTGCTGGTGTTTGGATGTGACTCTGGTATCGCTGAGATGACTCAGTTCATTTCACTGGCAATCGTCTTCTGTTCATTAGGCATTAATGCCAAATTAGTTCGGACGACTGTTAGACAGAGCGATTAGTGATGAGGTAGCCAGGGGATATGCGTCGGATTAGTTCTGCTGCTCCATCACACGTGCTTATCCATGGGGTTCCTCTTCGAAGAGGAAACCTTATGGATAAACATGTGTTTGATAGTTTGAGACTAGAACTGTCTGTGCATGGCGAATTCGTCTTGCCCATCAGAACACAATAAAACTACTTCCTATCAGCTCTGGAGCTTTCACAGTCTATTCTCGAGTGCTGACCAACTGTATAACGTTGGAGCCGGCAAGAGGCAACTACTATTTGAAGGCACGGCCATGCAGCCATTCGAGTGTTCGTCTGGTGAAAGGGAGGAGGGAAGTTTCTGAGTTTCACAGGAACTGACGTACGCAGATTTTTTGGTCATTTTTCTCAAATGGTCCTCAACGACTTGAGCAGCCAACTGACCTCAGCGCTGCGCTCGTTGCAGAAGGCGGCTTCTTCACTCAATGAGGAGGATGACGAGCCGTTGGAGGAGTGCCTGAAGGAAATCGCTAAAGCTCTGCTCCAGGCTGATGTGAATGTCAAGTGAGACCACCTTCCTTACCGGTCTCCCCTCCGGCTCTCCCTTGAGCTCGATATCTATCAGTATCTGGGAAACTGTTTCTGCGATGTAGGTACGTCTCGAAGCTGCGGCAGAGTATTAGAACACAGATGAAGCTCTACGAGGGCGCGGCGATTAATCGGCATAAGACTGTGCGCAAACTCGTTTTCGATGAGCTTGTTAAAGTGAGAAACTTGCGAAGATTATCAAATCCGTACGACGATGCCACTTTCAGTTACTAACGCCTTCTAGGGCACCTCGGACACTCACTAAGGGCCGGTCCAATGTAGTTATGTTTGTCGGTCTGCAGGGCAGTGGCAAGACAACATCATGCACTAAGTGAAATTCACAACCTTCAGATTAACTATTTGAACTATCACCATATTAGATACGCCCTGTACTACCAACGACGAGGATGGAAGGTGGCGCTAGTCTGTGCTGATACATTTAGGTGGGCTACAGGACCATCGTGGACTGGATGTAGCGGGGCCATCTCAGAGCTGGGGCGTTCGATCAACTGAGGCAGAACGCGACTAAAGCTCTTATCCCCTTCTATGGCAGCCATACTATAACAGACCCGGTACAGGTGGCTTCAGAAGGTGTGGAGCTTTTCAAAGAGGAGCGGTAAGGTCGCGACTGGTTCGGTATTATAATACGTCATCCAATCCCAAGATACGACCTTATCATTGTCGACACTTCAGGGCGGCATAAGCAAGAGTTGGCACTGTTCGATGAGATGAAACAGGTGAGGCAATGGGGGTTAGGAAATGTCGTGGGAATACGGTGTGTGCCGCCACTGCTAGTATGCAAGTCTTGCGATAAGTCTCAAGTGCAAAAAACTATCGCAATTGATGAGTAGACTACGGGTGATTGCTATTCAGCTGAGTCGATACTCTTCGCCGTCTCCTCTCGATCATTGTATACACATCGTTGGGTTGTGAGGGGATCATCGGAATGCGACTATTAAATTGACTCGAATACAGCTACTCCACAAACGGGTATACTATTGGCACACTTCTCGTGGTGATCAATCGCTTGCGAGTCACCGGTCTCGCACAGCTTTCGTCGATCAGGTGTCAGAAGCGGTGAAGCCTGATGATGTGATATTCGTGATGGACTCCCATATTGGCCAGGCTTGCAGCGCTCAGGCAGCAGCCTTCTCGAGTACAAATCCCCCCCATCACTTCCGGAAATTGTGTGTTTCGAGCGCGCTGTGATCAGATGCGGTGGATGTTGGGTCGGTCATCATCACCAAGCTGGATGGACATGCGAAGGGTGGTGGCGCTTTATCGGCTGTAGCTGCCACAGACTCTCCCATTATATTCATCGGTTAAGTCGTGAATGTCCATCATGCCTTCGTACGCTCTGCTTGTTAGGTACTGGTGAGCATCTCGATGACTTCGAAAGGTTCGAAGTGAAGGGCTTCGTTGGGCGGTTACTGGGAATAGGTGACTTGGCCGGTTTAGCAGATAGTAAGTGCCTCTGTGGTGTATTTGGAACGCTACTTTCATTCAGGCATTGCCAACGCTGTTGACATCGACGAGCAGAAGAAGACGATGGAGCGACTCCAGGCGGGTAAGGCGTTCACTCTGCGAGATCTGTATTCACAGCTGCAAGCGGTGATGAACATGGGATCCATGTCGAAGATGCTGAGCATGTTACCGGGCATGGGTAACATGCTGGATGCCCAATTATGTGGCGGTGTATACCTTCATGGGCTCAGGTGGCAGTAGTCTTCCTACGATGTCCGATGAAGCTTCAGTGAAGCGCATCAAGCGGTTCTTGGTTATGATGGACTCGTTGACAGCAGCTGAGATGGATTCAGCGAAGCCGATCACTGAAGGCACGAGGATAATGAGGATATCGAGAGGCAGCGGCAGCCATCCCTAGTAAGTGCTTACGTGTCTCCCTGTGCAGTGAATACTGCTGTTGGCGTTCAACAAGGCCCAAGTGGGGTAAGCACATCAATGAATGCAGTTTTGTGGTTTCAGTGCCGTCATCGAATTGATAGAAGAGCATAAGAAGATGCAGAAGATGCTCCAACGTATGGGGAAGACAGGTCTCTTATCGAAGGCTGGAGACCTCACCAACATGGTACGGAATCCGCAACAAGTGATAAGTAAGGTCAGCATTCTACCGTCCTGTGGGATATCACTTTGTATTGCTTTCACTCGACGTGGAATCGACATGGAATGCATATGGGACCTAGAATCACTAATTTGGTCCTCCTAGGAACGCTCCGCTGTTCTCTCAGCACTTTAGTATCGGTAGTTGGGTCGGCGAGATTTGAATTATCAGGTAAGTTGAAAGCGTCCGTAGATCACGATACATTAGCGAAAATGGGCGGAGCGGAGAACTTTTTTAGTATGATGAAAGAGATGGAGCAGAATGAGGAAATGCAGGCCTTATCTAAGAAGCTGTCTAGTGGCAGCAAAAAGAGATAAGGGGACCATGAGCAATGGTATTGACCATGATTCTCCACTTCGATGAGAATGATGGTGAAAAGTTGAGTACTTGCAAGATTAGCAAGATGCGCAAGATGTTTGCTCTATTCCGTGTATTCAGCGCAGTTGAGCTGTCTCGTTTGTCAATCTCATCGCAGCGCAACTCCTGCCCAGGGTGGACGCGGGACTAGTGCACGAAAAGTCGTGTTGGTTCGTCAACAGTGTGAGAGTGACTCCTTCAGTTTGCCCCAGGAATTAGTCGCCAACTGAATGCGGAAGCTTCCAATGGGATCCATAAACTCTATACTGATCATTATTGGGAGCCTCCTCTTCGTTGCTGTAGGTGGGCATAAAGAAAGCCCTCCACAAGACAAGGTATGAAGCCACGAAGTGGTGGAAGAGTGGTATGAGTTTTGCCACCCTCAGGCTGCCGACGCCCTTACCGATCTATGTAGCGGCATCGTGATAAAGGGGGAGCGCTTGACGAAGAGTCACTTGGCTAAGGCGACCTCCACTCGGGACTATCCGTACACTCTCTGGGTAACTTCGGATCACGCTGGTGGTCTTGAGACACTTCCATTCATGCAGACCATCGGGGACGACCGTGGGACATTTACGAAGCACACCTGTGAACGAGTGAGGAGCTCCCCAAGAAGGAACAAGGAGCTGCAATATGAAGTGCTCACTAGATGCGATGGGTTACCTACGACGCTATATTTCCCCGACGAGGAGGCCGCTGTGGACTTCGCTGTGCAGTGGGGTCATCTCGAAGCGGTATAATGGCGAGTCATTAGCTTCGTTGTTTGATTGTCTTTCTCAGTATGAAGTGGATGCGACCGTTTTGAGGGAGGGACGTGTCGCGAAGAACCCCTTCTCGCGGTTTGCTCTGTTCAAGAAAAAGCTGACGGCTGCTCATGTTAACTTTGGCAAAAATTGGAAAGCAGTGAAGAGATATCTCAAGGTAGCTGCAACGGGTCATGAGTTTGAGTAATGTGGATGTTCAGATCGGCAGCAAGACGTATGCGTACTGTGAACAAGTGACTTCTGGTCCTACTAGTTACAGCGATAACTGGAAGCTTCGGGTCACTTGTACCAAGGAGAACTCAAAAATGACGAAGACTTTCGATATAGAGTTCCTCAGCAAAGACAGTGCGATGAGTTTCGCTACTATATGGGGAGGCTATACGACTGAGGTGGGCAATTTCGTGGCGCAGTGACGGTGAGTGGCTCGAAGTTTCCTTGTTGAGGTACCGATGTCGGCGAGGATGATCAGGGGGTCGAACATCAAGGCCGCTGAGCTCCTCGTCAGCCCTTCCACGGGACGCGCCAGAAAGAGAATTCTCCGCGTAAGCCTCGTCGGGTGCCTCGGCCCCGCACTAATTGCATAAAAATGCGATGGCTAGGATTTGAACCGTGTTTCAGCTCCAGGACAACAAAGCAAGAATCTGCCGTGCCGTCAGTGACGTCATCTACAAGGGTGATGCTGCTGACGTCGTAGTGGTATGCGACAAGCAGCTGCATACCATACCGTTCGATGCCTATCAACGTGCCGAGAGATTTGCTGCTGTTTGGGGCGGCTTCAAGAAGGTTCGTCTATCCTCCTTGTGGTCCAGTCACGGGTCTTTCAGGTCGATGAAGATGTCGTCGGGAAATGTTCTAAGATGGAGATAGCTGGACAAGCCGATACTATCGCTAGGGCAACATCAGACGTCGTGTCCCTGGGGAGAAAAATCGCTTCTGGACGTCTCGAGGTAGGTATGAGCTCTGATCATAGAACGTAAAATTCTGTTCCAAATCATGTGGATCACGACGGTATATCGTAGTTCATATAGCTATAGTTCAACTGCGCCTACCGCTTTGTCGGTTTTCACCTTGCTTGAAAGTGCATCCTCCGGAAAGATCCCGTCGGAGATGAGTTATGCTACCAGTGAGTTTCCTTTCACTCTCAGACTAGTGAAGGCTTGATGCTGCGTTGTGCACGTGTGAACGAGCCGGTATCATATGAAGGAGGCATTGACAAGTACGTGGTTAAGACCAAGTGCCAGGACCGCACCACGAGGATCATCTGCGATGACGAGGATGCTGCATGGCGGTTCTCGGCCCAGTGGTCACATTTCCGGGCGGGGGTGAGTCTCGCTGCGGCACGATGTGGATCGCTTCCATTTGTTCGAACTTCCAACGCTTGGGTGTCTTGAAATCCAGCCTCGTCACTGGTCCTCATCGGGATAGGTCTCTACCAATCTCGGCCTAGTGAGTGCCTCTACTCGTGTCGACCTCCACCACAACGGTAAACACTTTCTGTTCACCCTCACTGCAGCCAACGTCGAGAGCCATGTGAGCTCGTCGAGTGTTCGGATGCGCTGGCTCGGGGTAAGACCTCTCTTACTCGTTCCTTCCTAACCTCTCTCCTTAGCTCCGCTATGCTGGCACCTCCACTAAGGACGATCGAGATTTATCCCGTAAATGGTTCGTGTGTTCGAAGGTTAAGACTATTAAAGAAACTGATAACGGTGAGACCGGCTTCCGCTACCTGACTGGTTGTGGGAGGATCCGTTCTGCCATTCAGGCGAATTCCATGTCGTTACCACGTGCGGTCTTTCACTCCGCAATCGCATCCCGAGTCCTGAGGATAGTAACGACGAAGTTGAAGTTGTCTTCGCCAAAAGAGAACAGGCACAAGAGTTCGCCTCGCAGTGGGGCCAATACAATCCAGTAGGTCCACTCTGCATTCGTGATCATATCGCTCACTAACATCACTTCAGATGAATGCCCACGATGTCGGAGTGATTTACTCGGCGGAGCCTATGGCGGGTGTGGTCGCGGCTGGCTTTTACCGGGATACGTTCTCTGGAAAGCTGTCGGGCAGGGTGCTCACGGTGAGAGAGTACGGCTACTGAGCCCCCGATTCAAGTTACCTTCCCAGACTCGCGACGCCGCCTTTGAATGCGGTGCGGTATCGGCCATGGAACAGCAGATCGATGGTGATGTTCACCTCCGAACCGAGTGTTCAGGGGAGCGGAAGACGACAGAAAAGCTCAGCTCGGCTGACGTAGGATTATTTACTGTTCAGTATGGTGATGGTCTTTTCATTCGCAGACCACACTGGTGTTGAAACGTGCTGAGACAGCGGTGAAGTGGGCTGTGAGATGGGGAGATATTGCCAAATCCGAGGTATGTTGATACTGTAACGCTCGATGATTCACTCCTTATTTCCATGGTTTAATTAATCTCTGTGATGTAGCTCACACTACTGGGTTATCAGATCTACATGTCCTCCGATATGGTATCTGATTCTACTGCGAGCGTGCAGGACCAGGTCACAGGCACTGTGAATGTTGCTAAGTTGGTATATGCCTCGACGGGAGCTCTACAGACTAGGGTTATCGAGGTGAGATAGACTACAGCCTATCTAATTCGCATGCATATCACTTCAGATCAATGATGACAGTGGCAAAGCTTTCGTCTATAATTGTGAGGGCGTCTCCTCGGACATAACTTCACAAGGAACTTCCTACAATGTCCAGGCAAGGTTTCCCCGTCTCGCCTTTCGTCATACCTAACGCAATATCTCATAGGGGATCACATCTTAGGTCCTATGTGGAAGCACCATTGTACGTGTTACCTTTCCGAGCCAAGAACTTGGAATCGCTTTCGCTCGATATTTCGGCGGCATGCACAACGCTAATGTGAGCCGCTAGGCTGTTCTTGAACCACTGTCTCGCTCCTTCGTCATGAGATCATTTTCTAATCATGTCATGCAGATTGAATCTGATGCGGAATTCATCGGCTCGTGTCCGAGCGCCGTCATTGGAACTGGTGGCGTTCACGATCTCAAACATGCTCGGCTACGCAAAGAGACAGGGACCGGCGAAGTGAAGAGGATTTTAGTTGTGAGGAGCATCTAAACATGTTTGAATTTTCCGTCACGCGTATGTGAAAGGTCCGCGGAGAAGACAAGGAACTCAGCTGCTCGAATGTTGTGAAACCTCCGCAGTTTGATGACGGTGTGTACAAGATATCAGTTGTTTGTGAAACGAAGCCTGTCACAATCACTTGCACGGACTCTGACCCAGCCGTGCTACTCGCGACCAGCTGGGGTGCATACCCCCGCGCTGAGGTTGGTTTCGGAAACAGCGGATGGTCGTCGACTGCATACGATGTTTCTACTTAGTTCGGGGTTGAGCTTCCCTCTGGAGTGTGTTCGAACGCCCGTCTCGGAAACGACGAGGGTTGGACTGTAATGGAACAGACTGTAACTATGACAGGAGATAGCAGGAGCTTCGTGGTGAGTCTAGGCAAAAAGATTGAAAAATGCTTCGGACAAGCCGGACTTGATCTACATATATTATAGCTCCGGTGGCTCAATCGGATAGAGCGTTGGACTTCTAATCCAAAGGTTGCGGGTTCAAGTCCCGCCCGGAGTATTTTCTGTCTCCATTGCACACTGAAATTCCAGGTTGTCAAGGCTGGGGCTTCCACCCGAATCAACTGCGATGGGCTGCAGCAGAACCCACGTGTCGGATCCGATGGAGTAGAAATATCTATCAACTGCTATGAGGAAACTTCGGGAACACCTAAGAAGGTGAGATTTGAGAGACGTTGATGGTGAACTTCACATTGTGTATGATGGCTAATCTATGTCTTGGTATCGATCCTTCAGTTGGAACTCCTCTGCGATACTCCCTCCGATGCTGTCAGCGTCTGCAAGGGCCCTCTATTTGAGAAACAGGATGCTGTGGTAAGTCCCGACGTATCGTTCCCTGCGGTTATCTACCATCAGGTGGAGGTCAGCAGCAGAGTCCGCAGTGCATGCGACGTCGTAACGATATCCGGTCAGTCATCTCCGATGCGCCTGACATCAGCGAGCATACAGGACTCGGCTGTGGTCGTTGATGTAAGATGTCGCTTTGCTCTTGCCCTTCCATCTCTACTTAGATCGCTGGCGCCGACAAGTCGAACACTAGACGGGTTTCTTGCACACACTTCTTCGGTTCTCCCGAGGTCACTGATCATCAAACCCTCGTACTCCACGCCCAGTGCGGAGAGGAGGTCAGTCATGTGAAGCCATGCAGATCCTCACTGGCGGCCTCTCCTCGCAGGTGTTGAACTTCGAGTGTAAAGACACAGCAGCTGCGTTACAACTCGCTGCATCCGGACAGATCGACCAGCCAGCAGTAGGTTACTCGGAAACGCACAGAACGGGTGGCAGCCTATGGGAGCCACCACCTTCATTGTAGATCGCCCTCCAGCAAGGAGTGATCAACTCCTGTGCGGAAGTGAGACAGGAAGGCATCTCGAATGCATTCTCTCTATCGAAGGTGACACGTGAATACTCCTACTTAGAGTGATAAGTTTGGCTGGTAGGCTACATACAGACCAAGCTTCGCGAAGAGCTCTGGGTACTCTCTTATGTCCGGCTCGGGACAGGACCTGAAACGATGGCTAACGGTATGGCGACTGTCTTACTTAGCGTTATGCTGGTCTCGGTAGGTTACTTTGAGAAATGATGATGAGCCCAGTTACGAAGACTCGAACTACTTACTTTCCTGCGGCGCTGTGAGCTCTATGCCAGAGCCCTATTCTGCCCTCGATAGAAATGCTGACAAATACAAAGTCTCCGTAGAGTGTGACAATGCTGAAGGAATAAGCGGGAACACCAAAGTGGAGGTAAACCCTGAAGCTAGTGATACTGTTGCAGAAAGTGACCCCCAGGTCTTGTGCGACGACTCCCAGAGTGCCGTGCAGCTTTCCACGATGTGGGGTTCTCTGGAAAGCACACAGATGGTAGGCGGCTTCTCTATGATTGTCATGGTTATTCTGTTACACCTCCTATCCATAGGCGAGTATAGAACTAACGAGCCTACACACTCAATTGAAAGCAGCATGGCTTGACGCTGCGAAAGTGGATTCCAACAAGGTTCATATGTTCGTCGCGAATCCAGATGGCGAACATGAGGAGGGAAGCATTCTCCAAGTAGGTTGAGAATCAGTTTGGAGAAGAGACTTCTCATCTTCAGATTGGTTCGAGCTCTTATAAATGCGACCCGAAGGCGCCCCACCGCGTTTACTTCAAGCAGTTCTTCTATTACGTTACCATGCGCTGTAACGAGTTATCGGCGGATAAGATGACCTTGGGAGACTCCCATAAGGTGACGCTCATTGCCAGCAGTGAAGAGGGAGCCCTCACCATGGCGCGAGCTTTTGCCAAGTTGCCTGTTGACAAGGTGAGAGTCTTTGATCATCGCCGAACTCTTCGTGTCTCGCCTGTGATAGGTATGGATTGATCACACGCTCTACTTCGCGGATGAGGAAGGAGACGCTACGCTTGGCGATACCCAAGCTGCCTTGACGGAGGCATACATAAAGGTCTTCCCGAGGGAGTACGTGCTCGATGTGAGTGCCATAAAGCGATGTGACGAGACATAAAGTTGCCCGCTTATCAGTTCAGCGGCGCATTCCAGTGCAGTTGTAACGAAGTCTCACAGGCCCCGAGGCACACAGCAGGCGATAAGTATAAAGTTATGCTGACATGTGGTAAACGTGATGGTGATACTGAACCTGAGCAAAAAGAGCAAGTCGTTACCATCGCCTTCTCCACGTCTTCCAAGGCGATTGGTTTCTCCAACGCCTTCGGGGGCTTGTTATACCATGAGGTGAGAACATCTCAATCATTCGAATTGCATGCGGAATGCCCTGGTCATCAGGTCGAGATCGATCCCACTATCATTCGTACTGTTGATTACATCTCGTCTACGCCCGAGCAGTATATGGGGAGAGGGGAGATATACCCACTCAAGAGGGCTACTGTGAGGTTTGACCTCGATGGTCATGTCACCTCTCGCCGCATCGAAGTAAGCTGGTGTCTTTTATATGGCCGTGATTCGATTTATTCTATGTCAGTTCTTACGCGCAGACCAGTTTCATGGAAGTGACAACGGGAAGCGCACTTATCATCCTGTGAAGTTCGACTGCGATGAGAAGCTCCTGCAGGATCGCAAAGCTGATCAATCTGGTCGCATCGTCGCCGCGACACTAACGGCGACATGCGTAGAGACCTACAGTGGTTTCCACCAACAACGTGTCGACAGGGCGAAAGTCCTCATGTCTTTCCGAAGATCGCCTGACGCTGCCGAAGCCTTCATGAGTTGGTGGCGCGGTAACTTCAGAACTGTTGATACTCAAGTGTCGTAGGCAGACGGCGCCCGGTTCCAAATGTCTTAAAATTAGTTGAATACTCATATGTGTGATTTGTGCTTTGGCAAGATGTTTATTCTACTTTGTGTAGTGTAACGAGATGCATGTTCATCAGTTGTTATGAATAACGATATGATTGTGTTGCTCAGTAGAGGAGACGTTTGGACGCTGAGTATTACCCGAACATGAGCGTGACACGACGGAAGGGTATCTACGAGGAAGCTTAGTCTCAACTCCAACGTTTCTTAAAAATGATCAACACAACGAAATGTGTGCCCTCATGCACCTCTGAAATCTTTCTCAACAGCAGCAGCAGCAGTATCATTCATATGTCTGGGCATGCTAGGGGCAAACACGTCATAACTCGCCGCCGATGGGGACGCGAATTTGATATTCACCGGCGGATGGATATAGAAGACCGCTCCCTTAGCGCATCTCTTGGCGGCCCGAGTAGCCAGCAAGTCTACTCCAGCACCATCCTCTTCAGTGTCAGCTGGAGGATGTAGAACGTCGTTTGCCAAGCAACGAGCATACTCCCTGGATCGAAAGTTATACCTGCAACGATGATGACTCAAACGATCGGGAGTAACTAAAACTCTTTCACCAGTAGGGATTGAGGGTCTCGTCGTAGAAGAGCATCCATGGGGACAGCGGCTGTGACAGGGAAATATTTCTCTCTATTATCATCGTGAGGGAAGCGATGTTATTAGCAAAGAGCTTTCTCGAGTAAGCGGCCTTGCGTAGGCTGAAGATGGTGTGGTTTTGTCTCGCTCCTTTGCGGTGTATCCTAGCGGAGCACTCGGTGCACAAGACATCCTCGCACTGCATGCAGATATACGATGCTTCGTTGGAGTCGCACTCGAAGCAGAAGGTCGTCATAGGTAGACGGACGCAGTGTCTAAAGAGTGTATCGATTTTTAGCAATAAGTGAGTTCACCTCGATCGTTTTCCGGCCTGATGAGCGTTGTGAAAACAATCGCTGCAGTAGAGATCAGCGCACTCCACGCATCGGACCACTGCGGCCTTCACCTCACACTCGGAGCATACACACTGTTCGATGAACACCGCTGGATGATCCAGTCTATGACCAGTTGAGTGCACAGCAACCATACATGCATTACAGAATACGTCATGACAAGCACCGCAAATGACATCACAAAGCGCTGCCTCGCATTCTATGCAGTAACTATAAGGAAATAATTGCTGAACTAACTGATCAAGTTATCCAATTGATTACAGAAGCCCACTAGGTGAGACCTTCTTCATGAACTCGGCCCTTTCCAAGGCCAACTGGACGATAAGAGCATGAACGTCCACTATAGTGTCCACTGAAATGTGATGGAGGCCACCCAGATGCTTCACTGTGAAATAGACTCCCTCCAACATCTGTCTAACACGGCGTATAAGGAAGCTCTCAGTGTGAACGTCAATGCCCAGGTATTCGAGTAAGCGTTCCATGATCTTGGGGGTCGCCGCCTAATGCCACTCGTTCACTTTTGCTGCGGCATTCCTCTGAATTAGTTACTTTTCGAACGTCTTTGACACCGGATATGTGATTATAGACGAGTTCTTTGATGAGATACAGCCGATCCTTGCGTTTTTGCTCCAACTCAGCCGACTCCAGCATCAGCCTCTCCGCCAGAAGACGATGATCTTCAACTATTGAGTGTGACGACCTGATGCCGGCGACTGAGTCGCAGCACCAACCCACGAGTACAGTCACTTGGTCTCCTGCGAAACGACGTTTGTATAGGTGAGATCAGTGACGTCAGCACGGGGCTTTGAAATCGCACATGTCCAACCGCTGTCCTTGAGCGCGAGGAGGCAGTCACGCACTAACCACAGGAATTGCTGTTGGGACTCGGCATCGATGCCTAAGTGGTGGCAGTGCTGAATGTGCAGGTTCCCGAGGAGACGGTATCACCCAACGCTGCAGTCATTGCCTCAACGAGGTCTGGTTCGAACTGAGTGTACGATTCTGGTACGACTTTTGGTTCGTAGCTGGAATGTGGCCTGGACGGTACTGGCAGGAGCTGAGGAAGGTCGGGATCCGAGAGGGATCGAGTGCGGGAGCCGGTCAAGGTACTCTCCATCGTTAGAGAGTTGACTACATCACACCATAGACAAATGTAATCGTCGACAAGTGTAAACCATCGACAGACAGCACACATAGTCTAGGCACCAAGAGCAGTGTGGTTGGCCGACTTATCTAATGCACTACTGTCCGCAGTTAGCCCCCCTCCCTTTACAATGTTAGTCGGACCCAAGCAAATTGTGAAAAATCATGTCTTGGTCTAGCATTGGAATGGCGATGGGGGGGAGAGGCCGACTTGATAAGACAGCAGTTTTGACTTTGCCTAGCAACATGGCGCGCGCCCATCCCTGTATGCCGCTGTCAATAGGCGATTAGGGAACATACTGTATAAGATAATCAATCGAATTAGGTGGTGGGATATCCGAGTCATCAACCTCTATTCAGAATCACATTCTTGGAGGTTCACTGTGAGACATTATAACTCATAATTTATAAGGCATCGCCAAGCAATGCAATAGACAGCAGGATTTGGTTTATCAGCACATAAATCATCATACTGACAACTAGACATGTTCGTAATTAGAAACCATCGAAAGTCATCCGTACGTCAACATTAGCTCGTTTTCCGCCCCGGCCCTTCCCTCGCCGGCCTCCCTTACCCTTGCCCCCGCCGTGGCGTTTGCTTAATCGAGCAAAGGAACTTTCGACTTGGGAATTGAGCGCATCGTCACACACTAGACAACCCACTACACCTGAGACCTTCATAGACCCATCAACCAACTGAGTGCCTTACTCTCGGCTCCGTTAGAAAGTGAAGACTTCCCTTTGCTGAACTCGACATTCAAGAGCTTGCTCCCGCAATTCTCACCTGACCAGAACACGTCACGACTAGGCGAGCCAGCGCTGTTGGCGTACACTTGTCCTTGGTAACGGTAATCTTATGGGCTTTATCTTGGAATAGTCTAAGCTGGTAGTTACACGTGTTGCAGTCTAATTTCCACTTCGGTTTACTCTCAGCATCGAGACAGAGAGTTCCACTGCAGCTATCTTGCGGGCATCCGCATACCTGTCGAGATTTCCCGTAGCAGAACTTGCAGATGATGATGATGATGATGATGATGATGATGATGATGATGATGCGTACCCCGACAGAAGCTAAGGCATGTTTACAAGTAGGATGGAGGCACTCCCAACACGAACTCTTCGGCTTGGATTCGGGGAACGGCGGGTCGTTGTAGCACCTGAGGGGAAATCGTCAGTGGAAGGGCAATGATGATGAGGAGTTAACTCACATCGGACAAAGAGGATACTGTTTCCGTCCACCGCCAGCTGTAGATGGATATGATATCATGACCAACTGGAAGTTGTCGAGAGGGCAAGTGAGCTCCTGATGGTGGACACTATATGACCAGCATCACCAGCATCAGTCCCTACCTTGTAAAGCTTGACGCTACTCCCGGTTTGAGGCAGAGCATACGTCTCATCACAATGACGACAGAAGAGCCGAACCGGTTTCTTGTCTATCAAGTTCATATACCTGTACATAGACTGTCACTAAACAGCCCTACCGCCGCGACTTACGTTCTGCATTTACCGCATCTAGACATGAGCTTGCCTGTGGCAGCCAGTGAGGTGAACGTCGACTCAAAGAGGTGGTCCATGAGGTCAACGTGCGACACGAAGTACATAAACTTTTGTTGGAAGATGGTGAGGGCATGGGCTGTCACCTGCAAGGAGGAGGGAACTTTCGGTCAGAACGTACCGGAGGTTGACCCCATCAGTGTGGGAATATATGTTGGGTCTCCTCAACTGACCTCATAAGTTTCCTCATTACATTATGAAAACCCACACACATAGGGTAGAAGTGTACGAAAACCAACGATAATTTCCTCAGAATTTCCATACTTCCACCAACACATGTAGTTCACCATGTGCATATATCCTCACCTCATCCTTCCGGGCCTTCCCATTAGCAATAAGAGTACACTCACTTTCTATGTTAGCCCTCACCCTAGGGATGACCAACTCATTATCAATAGCTTGATAGCCATGGACTAATGTGATACCTGATAAAGGGTGATAGCAGTTGTACAAAGCTGACTCCTCCCGTTGTAGTCATACCCAGTTTGGTAGGCACCAGTCTCCGACCATCTGTGAGAGAAACGTAGTTACGCTCACAGATGTTGTTGATATGGGTAGCCATCGACGCGTCAGTGCCAATGCCATTCTTCTCCATCAAGCCAAGAAGATCTAATGCGGCACAAAAATATGATATTCCGCGCACTGCGAAGAATTCATTTCTTACCCGACTCGGAAAGATACGGAGGAGGCTTCGTCTTGGCACTACTGATCGATTTTGACGCTATCTGTAACTTCTCCCCAATTTTCAACTGAGGAAGAACCATACGAGTAACAAGCCGCCAATAGTGCCTACCGGAGGGACGTAGATATCCTGCATCTCCCCAGTGTATTGGACTCGGGTGAAGCCTGGGCTTTTCATGCGACGCCCGCCCACGGAGAATTTCTGAGTGGAGGCAGACCCTGCCCGATGGCTGTTGCTGCTAGTGCTCACCTCTTCCCCAATGACGAAATGGACTTTAGTTCTAGTGAACTTGCAGTCATGACCAAGGCTGGCCAGGAAGTGACGAGTAAGCATGTCGAAGAGCCTCCAAGAGTCAGAGCTACCAAAGTCGCCTTCTGTCGCCGACCTGAACACCACCAAACAAGTGAATCAAGTCGCCTCGCTGACACCATGGCCAACTACAAGCCAGGGGTGAATAGACGTACTGAACCCTAGAGCGAGATCCAAAGAGTACCATTACCTGACTGGGGTGATGGGTGGATGGTCACCAGCGTCATAGCCCTCCTTAGGTCGATTGAGGCCAGTTGTTAGCAGTTCTGTCGCGAACTCGCCCCAGTAGCTGAAAGTGATACTGTGGACCAATCGAGGTCGGCTAGCACGTACGGATTCCGTGATTGGAAAGATACAGCCTCTCGCAGGTCGAATGCAGGAGGATATTTCGTAGTCTCTGTACGAGGGTACGTGATGTAGCCCGACAGGTACAGACGCTCGGCCACCTGATAGAGACCATTCCATGCCTCATCCATGTAGCGGTGAGTGACTGAATGGCAATAGAAGCCAGACGACAGGAGTGAGCCTCTCGAGGATCCGTCCATCATGCGAGAAGTGGCATTTTCCTGTCTTACGGTACGACTCGTTAAAAAATGTCCCTCTCTTTAACCAGTAGACATCGAAAGCCCATCCAACAACTCCAGGTACTAACGGTGTCCTCCTCACCGAACCGCTCCTACTACTACTACTACTACTACTACTACTACTACTACTACTACTACTACTACGACTACCTGCATGGCCTGCTGTGGTCCCATTCCCAGCTGCTGAGAGGCCAGCTTGAGCATCAACACAGTGTTCATAGCTCCTGGTCTAGACCTCCGCTCCTGCTCCCCGTCATCATCAATACCAACACTATCGCGATAGATGGACTACCTCCTTCTCACTAACATCCGTCACTGTCGCCCATTGATAAGCATCGATCATCGACTTGAACGTGGTAGCTGCTTGCAGGTCGAACAGCTGACCGCGAGACCATTCCAACCACAGAGGAGAAGCCAGCTGAGAGCCTGCCAGCGACAGGGTGACCACGTTTATGAGGGGGATCCCAAGTGACCTTCAAGTTTGACATCGATGGTGTAGTAAGTCTCGGGTTGGAATGTCTGAATGTCGTTATGCCTCCGTACACAGAACCACAGAGTTGGCGTTTGGCATGGTCCGTACGAGACCAGAGAGGAATCAAGATCGCCGTATTTACCCTGAAAAAGGATTCCTTCAAAGTTGTCAGTACTAAGCTGCTCGAGAGATCCCACCTGAAAGTATCTGGTCTGAAAACGAGTGAAGGCAACGCCCGTTTTGAGGTCGATTTCCTGGCGGGCATCCACTGACAGCGCCTCATTCTGATTGGGGTATCCGAGGTTACGGTAGGCATGCTGAACAACCAAGGCACCTCATCCTCAGCCGCAGGGTATTCCAAGCACTACCTGAAGATCCTTAGCCACCAAACTAGAGAACTTGGCGCGCCATACATTCTTGCGGTCGGACAGGTTAGGAGCGACATTCTGCATCACCTACGCACAGCGAAGAAGATACCGCTTATCCCTGGCGGCGGCGTTGGCAACACGCACTGGTCTCGGCTTACTTCATAACAGATATTCTCCCCTTCTCGATCACAATCGAGCCAGAGTACTAGATGGTCGCAGCCCTTGGATTCTGAACGCAGATGCTGAGGCATCCTCTGCTTGGGGTTGGCCTGAATGATGACGTGTGACACGAGTAATGGCGTTATAACGACTCGATAAGACATACCACATTCAGTACGAATCTACTACAGTGGAAAACAGCTCCCCGACTGTTGTATAAGATCAGTCGTCCCCTCCCCTCGCCGCCCTTCTACTACCTCTTTCTGAACAGTCTTGGACTCGAACAGCTTGGCCGGATCCACTCTATCCCAGTTGTTGAGCTCAGGCGGGAAGTCTATGCTGTACACGTGACCCGCAACAGACGTAATCTTCAACCACGCCGGACTCCCCTGTAAAGCGGCTGGGAGGACTCTACAGTAGCTACGATAACTACCTGGAATTCGCCGTTGAACTCATGCACTTGACCGACAGGTGACACTCCCCTTCGAGACTGAGACATTCAGTGTACCCGACCATCACGGAAAAGTCACACGTACGTTGTATTTGCCTTTACATAGTGACTTCGCGAGAGCCTCCGCAATAGAGGGCTTTTCAGCTACCATTAGGACCTGCTGCACCATGATGAGCCTAGGCAAAAAGTCAACTGCGTAATGGAGTAACCCGTAGGGCATTGACCACTCACCAACGCAAGAGCAATATCGAAATCACTTTTCGAAATGTACCACCAACAATACTAAGCAACTCCGCCGTCATCGCCATATGAGAGCTACACTCCGTGAGACGGTATGAACAGACCGCTGTGTTTATTCAGTGGCTTCATCGGCGCCACCAGTGCTGCTAGCCACGACCGAACGGAACTTGGCCAAGATGTGAAGGCACACGACGCACCCCATGTAGGCAAGGGAGAGGACTAACACCGTAGTGGGTCCGACCTTGATACCCGGGGCATCGTCAGTGTAGAACTTCAGGATGGAGTTGCCGGCGGCCTGAGAGGAAGAACATCTTCGGATCAACAAGATTCAGAATAGGTTAGTTACTCTCCTTCCAGAAGCAGGGGCGGCCTTCTGACTGCTGCCAACGTTTCTCCTATGGAGATGGTTGGTGCGGGCTCCTCCCACGGTTTGAGCGGGAGCTGCAGTAGTGGGAGAAGTGTTCATGTTGGTCTCAGAGCCCTTAGTCATTTTAAAGAAAAATGTGTCCTACTGAGTAGATGGCTATAACGGCGGTGTCCGAGGAAAGCACCCAAGTCAACTCGCCCCAAGACATTATCCACGAGACGACAGCGCAGTCGAAAGTTGACCAAGGCGTGGTATGGAATACGAGACGTTTAATATGCATCTGGCATCCCAGGCAGGCACGCGGCACGTACTGATCAACCAACTCCAAACACGAAGAAAATCGATTGCACTGGCGTCCGCGAAATTCCATACCACTCCTTTCCCAAATCACAACTGGCAGTACACCAACTCAAGGGCAATGAAGCTGCTTAGATAAAAAGCTCTACGTAAATCGAATAACTGACATAAATGCTACTATGCAAACTCGAATCCTTTGGAACCTAATCGTACTGCAGTCATCAGCTTCATACACAGAGTTTTCTCCTTGTCATAGGCCGGCAGAGTGAGCTGGTTAAAGCAGGTAGAGGCTCGAGGGAGATCGGGGCAATTGGGGTCGCCTATTGCGGTTCTGACAATTCTAAAGCCTGGTGCGGAGTTACTCAGGGAACGTAATTCGGCAAAGCCACCGAGGGGAACACTTGTAAGCCCCGTAGCGAACAGCAACACCAAACGGACTTCACCGTCACTAAGACCATGGAGCAGTTTCCAAAACCACAAGATTTGCGCTGACGAGGCATCGTAGCCTTCGTAGTGCGTATGGGCCTTCCAATCAGCCAAATCAAGAGGCGTGTCACCTCCAGAGTGTAAGATAACAGCGAGCTCGTCGGAAGAGAACAGCCTGAGCTCATAGGACTTGAGGACGTCTCTCATCCCCCTCTTCAGCGCTGCGGCTGCTGCCGGCCTGTGAACTTTCTCAGTCAACTGACACAGTATGTACTCCTCCTTGTTATCTTCACCACAAGACAAGCACAGCTCCTCCTCAAGGCCGGTGAGGTCGTTATCCTGTAGGTATTTCATACTGTTGTGGAAAGTAGGCGACCATACATTCAACCACTCCCACAGCTCCTCCATACTCGGCGGCTCGAACGGGTCTGCCTTCTTCAGAGCCTCTACAACAGACCTATGCAGGGGTAGTCTCATGCCAATGTGATGGAGAAGTGCCATGGCCAGCAGCCTCCCGATGCCCACGAAGACCTCAAGGTCGACGTCCCTTCTAGGCAGTAGTAGCCGACCATCGTCGCTCCTCTCAAAGGCGAAGTCAGGCAAATCGTCAAAGATGCAAGTCCACATCTCCCGCTCAGGTCCAAGGCAAGACCCTCGTTCGTTGCACCAACTCACACTGAGGTTGCCCCACCTCATCTGACTGCTATCAAAGGTAAGGACCCTCTTCACTGTCTCTTGGAGGAAGTGGGGCCCTCGGAGGCACTTGAACTTCATAACCGGCACGAACGATGGCCGGGCCTGGCTCACTGACATACTCAAAAGCCTCATCTTGTTCTCCATGTCAAGAGCAGCCGCGAAGGGCTCCACCGAGCGAGCCCTTAAAATAAAGGCCAGAGGCTGTCCAGGCAGCAAAAGCTCCAGCCGTGGTCGTAGGAAGTCGTTGAGCATCTTGAAGAAGGGTGGACGTTCGCACACAAACCGCATCAGCCGAACCACTCGGGGCCTTGTCCGGTTAGGGTCTTTCTTGAGCAAATCCTTGATAACCGAGAGCTGCGGGAAGCCCGGCTGAGCCGTATCGTGACGAAGAAGAACCTCCACTGCATCAGCACCGGCATCTTCCGACTCCACACATTGTAGGGCATAAAGGAGAGGCGGCCAACCCGAGGTGTCACACATATGGGCATCAGCTCCCAGCTCAATAAGCTGCGCTACGCCCAGTGCCGATCCTTCCACAGCCGCCATATGCAATGGAGTAACTCCCGTGTCCTTAACCACACAGTTGAAGCCGCATACGCCGTACTTGACCAGATATCGTACAGCTGCCGGAGAGCCAGCCGCCAAGTGTAGCGCCGTATTGCCTTGGCCGTCAATCTCCTTATAGTCCGCAGGCCTCAACATGGTCAACTTCTCTACAGACCTCTCGGCTGCCGCGATCAGCACCGCAGAGCGCCTTTCGGCGAATGCTCTTGACTTGAGCAGCCTCCGTCTGTCGCTGCCCTTTACACCAGCGAGTAAGGTGGCAGCAACGACAACATCAGGCCGGAATAGGGCCAGCTGCAGAGCGTTCGAGCGATATTCCTTGTCCATCTCGAATTGCAAATTAGGTGCGAATAAGTTGAGGAGGCTTCGGATGCCCTTCCCATCGAAGGTGGGGTTCATAGCCGCCAAGTGAAGGGGAGTCAAGCCGTAGCGATCCCGCAGCCTGGCCGGGGTTATCGACACACATGTTCCACGGAGCTCCCAGAGTATGTTCCGAACAGTGTCAGCGCAATCTCGCAGGGCGAGCCCATGTAGGACACTACGACGATGTGGCCCATGAGGGGCTGTAAGAACAGGAGTAGTAAGGCCACCCCAGAAGTCCTTATCGTAATCGAGACATGTGGCACAGACCTTCTCCAATGCCGATGCAGACCCATTCGTGTGTCGAAGCTTACCCCGACCGACGATGCACCTTGCTACCTCTGCCGCAGCCTCTACCTCGGTAGGGGTAGATCTCACCTCTTGCCGGAACCATACAGGCCAGTGGCTCGGTATTGTTTCCCTCCAGTGAGGCGCCGCTTCCATGCTGATCGGCCCGTCCACCTGGATAGGTGTTGGCCTCATTTCCTCCCCCTCATCATCATCTGGTACGAAGAAGCTGTCCTCCGAATCGTCATCGCTATCATCGCCGCTGCCCTCGATCGAGCTTGTGTCGAAGTTGCTCGACTTGAGCCTCGGCAGGCCAGGAGCCCTCGAAGAGGGAGGAGGAGCCACACCATGGTAAGGATGGCTGCCGTCATCGTGGTCAGACTCCTCCTCCACCCCTGGCGAAGCGGCACTCCTCATTGCGAATAACTTCCTAGTCAGATCCGCCTCCACTGCTCTCAGCTTGCGGATCTCCTCCTGTCGCTTCTCAGACGAGTCGCTCTCACCATCATCATCAGAACCCTCCTCTGTCTCTTCCTCGGCCTCCACAGACCCCTCCAGCTCCTCACAAGGGCTCTCCTCCTCCTGAGTCTGTACCCCACTCCTAAACCTACGCCGCTTACGTGCCCTTTCCTCCGTCTTCTCGGCAACACCCGCCTCGTCATCGCTATCCGACTGATCCCTAAAAGACTGCCCTAAACTCGCCTGCCACTTCAGCCTTCTCTTGGCATATGGCGACTCCTGCGTGTGGCCCTCCTGATTGCCTTTGCCGTTCCTCATGGGCGTAGATGTCGCCCTCGTAGATGGTGTAGAAGCTCTCCTTCTAGTAGGCTTCGCAGGAGTCACCAGGGCTGCAGTGGCAAGAGGAGTGTCTCGCCTCTTTCGAGCAAGCCGTGCACTCTGTCGTTGAGGTGTTTCCTTGCCTGACATTTGGTAGGACCAAACTCATGCTGAAAACCTATACTTCTCACCCTTACCCACCCCATTCGGAATTTACCAAACTCGAACCCGCTCAAGATGAAGAAACGTCATTCAGTAGGGTAGTAGGACTTGGGCAATCTCACAAACTTCCTTGATGGGATCACCCGGTCGTCCACTCTCGAAACGTGGAACTGTATCGCTGCGAGCCTTTCGCACCTTCATTTATCCCCGTATCAGTTCCAACTGCCCAACTTGGCCCAGCAAGTGCTGCACAGTAAGGTCTGCGTGCCGACGAACTCCGCTAGGTGAGTCGACTCAATGACATCAGCCATTCGTCTGTGGAGTACCTCGTACACTCCCTTCCCCCATGGACAATGTTCACACAGCGCTCAATAGCTTGCATATCATATGCAGCGACATCGTAACCGTCGCTTCGCAATTTGAAGGATTCGCAATCGAGTTCCTGACAGTCTTCGATGAACCCCTGAGCCTCATGAATATGTGGGGGTATGTCGCCGCCACCGTCATCTCATAGCGGCACGTATTCAAAGGCAACCCCCCCAGGGGCCTCCATCAGAATCTGTTCATCCGGTAGATTCAAGTTGGCGCCTCCAGTCCGTCAAAACTACACCTGCGGGTCTGGTAGGTCTCCAGTGGGCAGACAGTGTCCAAGCGCATGACAAGGGCCCATATGTGGATACTGGTTTAAGGGTTAAAGGCATTCGTACAACTCGAGCTCCAATGCCCTCATACTCTGGAGCAAGTTACGGCGATGCCGTGCGGAACATCAGTTACTGTGTGTTTTTCCCTTGGAGTGAAATCTCGGAATCGCCTGCAGAGTGAGATAGGAGTTTGTTGGTGGTCGCCGTCGCCAAGTGAACAAGTTTCGTGCATCTGCAAGAAAGAAGAATGATAATGTGGGTCGGGGCACCAGTGGTACCGAAGACCATAGATGGTAGGTGGAGCACTGTCCGTACGTGGTGACCTCGGGGGTAGATAGGGCTCGAAGACCTCGATCACTCGTAGAGCATTCCTTTTGTGTAAGCGGCACTGACGGTAGCAGAACTCGTCATCGCTGATGGCATTGAAGGGATTGGTGCAATCAGCCTAAGGGCACTCGACGTGCTGGTCGACCTACTGTGGCTCGGCTAGGTGTACCTCATACAGCATATCAATGTGTTCGGTGAGATTGTTTATATCATCCATAGTGAACTTTAGTGCATGTAGGCGAACCTCCGACAGAAAGGTATGGAATGCACGTGAGTGGTTCATATTTACTCATAATATGAATCTCAATTTTCGCGTAAGATTTAAGATCTTACTCACTCTTATTCTTGAGGTTAGTTCTCTTCCATTCAAGGCTGAGGGACTAATGAAGAGTCCTAACCTCAAGATCCGCCAGATTCAAGGGGTTAGTAAAAGAGGCCCGATGTTGCCGCGTGGACTGCATAGTGGAGCAGACGGAGACTCGTCGTTTGTGACGGATTGTGGCGCTTTGAACGGATCGGCCTTCTTCAGAGCCTCTACAACAGACCTATGCAGGAGTAGTTTCCTGCCAATGTGATGGATGAGTGCCATGGCCAGCAGTCTCCCGATGCCCACGAACACCCCTCCACCTTTGGAAAGCTCATCTCGCTCTTACTAAGCAGCGTTTTCGCAAATGCTCAGTGATTGGTGCAGAGGCCCCTCAGAGGTTTACGAGGAATGCTAAACTCTTACTGTGGGCATTACTACATGTCCATTTCATCGAGTGTTTCCGATTCACGTGTCGTGTGAGTCTATCTAAAGCGTGGTATCGCGGGTCGTGCACGTTTTCAGTTTTCCCATCTGACAACAACCCTCCACAGAAGTATCGCAGCGACTCGCTATGTCAGCCCTCGACATCAGGCCAGCCATTCTTGATACCATAGCTCAAACGACGACTCTAGTGGACTACCCTGGGCGCACTGAGCGCTTCCTCCCCGGCACATCCCTGCTTCGATGCCGTATATCCCCCTCGAATCCACGCATACTGGTCGTGGTGGGAGTGCTGGCGGCCACTGACATGCCCAGCATCGTCATCTGGTCGGTCTCGACTGATGATCCCAGTAAATCCACCCACGAAATAGTCATTCCTCTCACTAGCCCAACGGTTACTAGTCTTGATATCTCTCCAGACTGCCGTTCGGTCATGGTTGTCGTTACCTCCCACGATCGATCCGATGAGTCAGCGATATTGGTATCCTCTGGGGTCACCCTACCGGCCTCGGGGAGCGTCCAACCCTCCCTTAGAACGCCAGGATCTTCCTCATGTGGCGGCTCATCTGTTGGGTCCAAGCTGACTCCACAGTCGACGGAGTCCCATCCCTGCCTTCAGTCAGAGGTGGTCGTCTGGGTCGAGCTTGCCGGTGGGTTGCCTGAGCCGCCAACCGCCATAGCATGGATAGAGTACAGTCCCGTGGTCGTGTCCTCGACCGAGGCCCTCCTGGAGGAAGAGGCCGTCACTTACGTCTGTATGGGGTTCCTTACTGGTGAGGTTACTCTCATCGATGCCGATGGCGCCGACGGTGGGAACGTTGAGTCGCAGTTCAATTGCCGTACGCCAGTGACCAACA